CCACCTTGACTTCTCTTGCCACATTGGCAAGAAAGGCTTTGCGTTGGCCCCCCCTCACTTCGATCTCACTTGCGTTACCTTGAGCATTGCCTCACCACCACCACTGGTCCACCGCCAGTGCAGCGCTCGGAGCCGCATTGCGCAACCCAGCAAATGTACATTTTGCAGTTGTTGCGCAGCCTGTTCTGTCCGGCCCGTCAAACGACATTTTTATACTGCCCCCGAATCCCCACCAACCAGCATGTCTACCACCCCACCACCAGCATCAACAACACATTCCCCACATCTGCCTTGGCTCGCATGTGCAAATTCGTGGGTGACAGTGGATGGTGTTTCTACGTTTACAGTTCATATATAACAGTTCGGAGCGGTGAATCACGGTTGAAAAAGGTGAAGCCAATCAGCCGCTTTAGAAAGCACAACATCGTACTGAACCGCAACGCTGAGCATAAATGTTCCAGCTCAGACCCGCCCTAAGGCCTCTGGGAAATTCCTATCTTGGAGACTGTGAAGTGAAGGTTCTGTGTTGGAAAAAAGCACATGATGCAATACCACCACGCAACGCATCGAGAAAAACAACTGTATGCTGTTGGTACGCGACGACGACACTTGGAGGCTAGAAATACAGAGTAGGTGACAAGACCAGCTAGCTTTGCGCGCCTCGTCGTCACTCATCAGATCCCACTCTATCTTGTCCGAATCACCAGCTTGACCATCTCGATTCGAGACTACACATTCTGCTTTAGTAATCGTTTCATCAAGCGCCTAGTGCTCCTCCTACCCTCGTTCGGTTTCCTCGCCTTTCACTACTGCTGCTCCTCATTCTGCCCTTCCAGATTCCCGTGCTCGCCGTTTCCCTCATCGACGTATTACACCAAATTCCACTCGCTATGAGCAGCATTCGCTCCCCGTGAACAGCTAGATCCGGCGATTATCACCGTGATAATCACGGTGGACGAGGCTTCTCTGGTAAATTCAGGGCATCGGCGCCATTCGCTTGTACCACGAGTAGCAGCTCGTTCTCAGCCGCTGTGCCAACTGAGACGGGGTGAACGGATTGTTTCGCGTCATAGCCTAAAAAGGCCCTCTGCCGCCCTCTTCCGAGCGGTCCGTTGCGGAAGGACCGATCTCTCCGCACAACATGAACTACAGACTTCTCCAAGCAGATATGACTCCTACAGAGTGTTGTAATAAACGCCTTACCTCCCGAAATCTCCTCGTCCTTTCCGTCCTACTCCTATCCGCCGCGATTCCCGCCGCGGTTTCCGCCACGAAGGTTCTCTCCGCAACTGCAGCTGCCCAAGCACAGCCCACGACAACTACATATGGAACATCCGAATTTCAGCCAACCGGATTTGTGCGCGTGTATCCAACTTCCGGAAGCTTCCGCGACTCCTACTTCTCAAGGAACGCGATTGGCGACACGGGGAGCAACGATACGTTGACGTCATCACATGCGACATCCACGGTTAGCCGCGCCGCAGAATTGACGCGCCGGCGGCAGCGGCGCGGGGGACGGCAGCGACAAACTCCGTTGCGGGGAGATGGATCTGGGCATTGGTGGAGGGTACATTCAGGAAGTCCCGGAATGAGTTACCACGGAGGACCTGTAATGAGTTCGCCAATTAACGTGTACGTCGTGTTCTACGGGTCGTGGAGTCGCGAGGACCGCCGAGCTGTTAACACATTCGTGCAATCGATTTCGGACAACTCGGGTAACAGTGTCGCGAGCGTGCGAAGATGGTGGCGAACCACCAGCTTGTACACTGGCAGAGGCGGCGTTGCAGTAACGTCGCAGGTGCGGCTTGCGAAATCCGCGGTGGACAGATATTCGCAGGGGAAGATGATGCGGGACGACATGAACGGCGTGTGGCAAGGTACGCGGAACAGTTTTTAGTATTTGGCAAGAGATATGGATGTACGGATTTCGCAGAATATAACAAAAAAAGGCTTTCAAATACATGTGAGGCTGTACTATGAGCATTATGCACAAGGCTGCTTTGATGCTACAGCAATAAACTTTCTGACCATCCATTTCGGATGAATGATTTCGTCCTTACCCTACTCTGTCCCTCGCAGTTATTCGCAGGCAGATTGATTCGGGTAACTTTCCCATCGATGCTTCTGCGATTTACGTCGTCTTAACGAGTCCAGACGTGCGATTGGGCGACAGATCCCAAGGCTTCTGCGGGCCGCAAGGGTACTGCGGGTGGCACTCGACCGCATCCAATGGGCGGAGCGAGCTGAAAGTGATTCACGTGGGGAACGGGGGACAGCAATGTCCTCAATACTGTGTACCTTCTTACAATACACGGTAAGAGGAATGAATTCGGTGAAGGGTGGTGTTTTGCAGCACGCAACGGGGAGTGTTTCGAGGCTTTGGAAGAAAGGCATTGACAATGGCCTTGAGTCTCCACGTGGCAGGTCAGCGCGACCACCACCTTCCCCACGCACTCCCCACCCTCTCCCTCTGCCGTCACCACCCCCTCCACTCCCCACTTCCCCCCTTCCTCCCCCTCACATCCCCCCCCTCCCCTCAACCCATCGTTATGCTTAAGTGGGGTACGGGATCACATCACATGCGTTGGATGTCCGTGTGTTCGTGTCTGTTGTCTGGGATGCTGCTATGACGTTATTATTTCGAACCGCCTCTGTGATTGTAGCAATGTTTATCCCGGTTCCTTCTATTTTCTGTTCGTTCTCCCCATTAGCTTCAGCACATCACCAAACAGCCATCCAGGTGTGGATGGCGTAATCAACACGTTAGCGCATGAGATGGCTGAGACGGCCACCCAACCCCTTACACCTTCAAATGTTACGTTACCATGCGCATATCTGGTTTCTTCTCTCTTTTTTTTCCTCCCTCCACTTTCACTGTAGGTCATCGCCAAACAGCCATCCGGGTGTGGATGGGCTGATCAACACTTTAGCCCATGAAATGGCTGAGACGGCAACAAACCCGCTTATAGACAATGGCTGGTTCGATATAAGCACTTTAGAGGAGATTGCGGACAAGTGCGCACGGCTGTACGGACAGAAGGGCAAGGATGTGGTTGTATCGCGACAGGGATACGCCTATAACGTGCTGGGAAAAGCAGGGTCACACTATCTGTTACAACAGGTGAGCAACTGGCGTTCTATTTCTGTCCAGAGGTTGTCAGCGTGACAGGGGACAGGATATGAGGGTGAGGTGCGCAGGAAGGGAGGTGGCTTGTGGAAAAGGAGGTGGCTTGGATTAATAGGGTGGCTTGGGGGACTAGGGAGGTGAGTTAGAAATATGTTGTAACAGGTGGGTGGTGGGGATAGGGAGGTGGGTGTTGGAGTTAGGGGGATGGGTGGGTGGGTGGTGGCAGACTTTGGGGATGAGGGTGGCATGCGTTTCTGTTCCAATGACAACGTAGTCAACCCATGTGATAAGGTATACCTGTGCCTCTCATGCCCCAACCTTTGAGTCAACTCAAAAGTCAACCCATGTGTAAGGTATACATGTGCCTGTACTCATGCCACAACCTTTCGAGTCAACTCGAAAGCCAACCCATGTGATAAGGTATACTTGTGCCTGTACTCATGCCACAAACTCCCTGTAGACAATTTCTCCCTGTGCGACTCCCTGTAGACAATTTCTCCCTGTGCGACTCCCTGTAAATGCCCCAGTATGCAGCTGTGCAGCCGCACTTCTCCCCAAACGTGGCCACGTGACATGAGTGACATTTTGAGACGTCTCAAAAAAGGCTTCAACTCCGCCCTCCCTGCCTCGCCCCTCCTTCCCGTGTGTTCACATGCAGCTATGGAGCCGCACTTCTCCCCAAAAGTGTGTCGTGCTGGGCCCAGCCTGAACAACCATGCAGCCGTGCATCGTTTTGCACCGCGTCCAGTCTGGATGTGTGTACTGTAGCGTACTGGTACTGTGGATTGTGTTTCACATGCAGCTGTGGAGCCGCACTTCTCCCCAAAAGTGTGTCGTGCTGGGCCCAGCCTGAACAAGCATGCCACCTCTATGTATCAGGTCACCTAGCGTGATAAGTGCCGGTATGTCTAGGTCACCTAGCGTGATAAGTGTGAGCTCCACTGAGTCTGCTTGGTTACGGTGGGTGGGTGGGTGTGTTAGGGAATAAGCTGCATAACAGAACAGATGACGAGGTGCTGTCATTACATAATAGATGAATAATAGCAAACAGGTGGGCTGCATAATAGATGGAGAGCATTGCGCCCGCAGGAGCCGGTGCCCACTTGTTGTCGCGTTTCCATGAACCTGTGAAGTGTGTTTCTCCCCAAAGGTGCGCCGTGCTGGGTCCGGCCTGGAAGACCATGCCATGCCATGATGGCATCATGGCACCCACCCACCCCTGTGTGTCATATTTGCATTGTGCATACCGGTACCCCTAGGTCACCATCCGTGTTCTTTAACAATACAAATGAAGAGCAGTAGTGTGGGTGCCAATCCACCCACGAGAGTCAGTCGGTGCCTATTTGGGGTACCGTACCATATGAGGTATGCTTATTTTGGTTATGTGTATCCAAGCGTACTGTTTGTTCTCTTGAGAAACACACTTGTGCAGTAACATGACAACAATGATAAACCACTGAATCAAAATCAAGAACGTATAATAGCAGCAGACAACCATCCAGCATACAATACATACACCGGCTGTTTCAACTAGAGCAGAGTACCACCTACAGTACAAAATGAAATGAATTTTAAATCTGCAGCCTCGGAGCAAGGGCCCCTCCCCGAGAGAACATAGTGCAGAGCAACGGCCCTCTCACCCCAGGATGAGAGCAGAGCAACAGCCCTCTCACCCCAGGATGAGAGCAGAGCAACAGCCCTCTCACCCCAGGATGAGAGCAGAGCAACAGCCCTCTCACCCCAGGATGAGAGCAGAGCAACAGCCCTCTCACCCCAGGATGAGAGCAGAGCAACGGCCCTCCCTAAAACTCCAACCCAGTTCCCAACTCAAGATAATGCAGAATCCAGCCTTCGTCACCCTCAGTGCGAAACCCTAGGCGATCTTCGCAAGCAGTCCCGAAACGCGCCCTCGCACTGGAATCCCAAACCGAAAGTACATATCCGGGCAGCCCAGCATGTTCCAATCCGTCCACATGTAGTCTTTCTTGCTGAAGTAGCTCCGACGGCCCGTGAAAATCGACGGCTCAAGAATGTGCGTTGTTTTCACGAGAGTGTCGACGCAAATCTCAGCTGGAACATCGGTTGTGTCTTCGGTCCCAGTCTCGCCAGATCCATCGGTAGCTTCGGGAGCTCCGGACGAAGGCGGTGCAACGTAGTCCGGGTTTGGAGTGCAGGTTGGGACATATTCCTGCTTGAGCGTCCAGTTGGTTCCGCTGTTGAGGTAGTAAAGGTGACCGTTGGAAAAAACCATGAAGAATTTCGGCGGATCTGTGACTGTCAGGGCGTTGTCAGCCATCTCGAGGGTCGCCTGAAAGCTGAGTACGTAGTCCGAAGGTTTCTTGGAGCGCAACGGGTTTCTGCAGGGAATGAGGACGGAGGAGAGAGAAAGAGGAGGGTTGTGAGGGTATGCTCTCGTCCATCTCGATAGCTCGCCTGAAAGCTGAGTATTTAGTCGGAATATTTCTTGGAGCGCATAGGATTTCTGCAGGAACAAGGACGGAGGGAGAACAGAGGGTTGTTGTGAGGGTATGGTTTCAGCCATCTCGATACTCGCCTCAAAGCTGAGTATGTAGTCCGAAGGCTTCTTGGAGCGCAACGGGTTTCTGCAGGGAATGAGGACGGAGAAGAGAGAAAGAGGGGGGTTGTGAGGGAATGTTCCAGTCCCTCTCGATGACGGAATCAAAGCCGATCAGGTAACCCATTGCGCGTGGGGTTCCTGCAGGGGGGAAGAGGAGAGAGAGTAGGGTAAGAGCGGTAAGGAGGGTACAGGAGCGGTAAGGAAAACACCCGAGCGGTAAGGAGAACACTAGAGTGTAAGAAGATTGCACGAAGTAGCCGTCGGTAGGAGACATCAAGAGACAGAGAGGCACGAAGTTACATGAGGTCACAGTAAGCAAGAAGCATACGCACGAAGAGCAGTACAAAAGAACTGTTCGCATAACGATGCACGAAGACACAGTAAACCAGAGCCACACACATGAAGACGACTCACTGTTCAACGGCAGAAGCACTCCTTCCAACACGCCTCAAAAGAAGACATAACGATACATGAAGACACAGCAAACCAGAGCGGGGCGCAGGAAGACGACTCACGAGACGTTCAACGACAGAACAAGACTGGTCACATTTGTGCCGGTTGTAGTGAGCGCGTACTGACCTGCCAAAGCGAGGAAAGGTGGGAGGCAAGGGAGAAGACGAGAGAGGTCAAGGGAGCAGAGAGAGGAAGCCCGGATGAATGGGAGGGCAACACGGAAGGGGAGGAAAAGGAAGGGAGGAGGGAAGAACTCTAGTCATGTTTGTGCCAGTTGAGTGACGGGCGCACCAGCCAGCCACAGTGAGGACATGTGGCAGACAAGGGGTAAGGTGCGGAAGGCAAAGGGCCAGGTGCGGAAGGCAAAGGGCCAAGGCAAAGGGCCAGGTGCGGAAGGCAAAGGGCCAGGTGCGGAAGGCAAAGGGTCAGGTGCGGAAGGCAAAGGGCCAGGTGCGGAAGGCAAAGGGCCAGGTGCGGAAGGCAAAGGGCCAGGTGCGGAAGGCAAAGGGCCAGGTGCGGAAGGCAAAGGGCCACGTGCGGAAGGCAAAGGGCCAGGTGCGCTTCACCGCGTACACTTTTGGGTCGGCGGAGATCCAGGCGCGGGAGAGAGCGGATGGGAAGCGCGATATTCGCACACGGGTTTGCGCGGACTCAGCGGATGCGGACGCAGCGCATGCGAGCAAAAAAAACCCATCCACTTGCACGTTGTATCGAGTCATCTCTTACCGACGAGGTCTTTCAGAATTTTAAGCTCGCGGCGGGGAGTCTCGGCACGGGGCTCCGCGGGTAACGAGGCGAAAATGGCGACGACTGCGGAGGAGATACGGGGGGAAAAGGGAGGGCGAGAGAAATGAGAAAAATAGAAAGCAAACAAACCATGCAGAAAGTTCGACATGATGCCAAGCATTATTTGGACCCTGGTCGCGGGGAAGTGCGGTAAGAGTAGCGGCAACTGCGCAGAACGACTTGCGCAAAGAGAGGAAGACGGAGAGAGAAAGCTCCCGGAACCTTAAACCGTGCCAGTCGAAACCCATCACTAACACGGCTCAGTAGGAATGAGTAGTTGAGGAAACGACAGGTCATCCAGTGGACAGATAGGAAGTGAGTGGGCGGACGACAGTGACTGATTTGATAGAGGATGCGCCGGAAAAAAAGGGGATGCGCCGCAAGAAAGTAAGTGGTTTGAATTCGATCCTTCGTATCTCGACCGTCGCTGTTTCACCCGCAAAACCGAGTCCAATTCGCGCCTAGACTGAAAGGAGTCCTTGACTTCGGAGTCTTTGACTTCTGAGGGGAGGCCCAAGTCACCTCTGATAGGATTGATTCAGAACGCCTACTTTCTCCACATCACAACATGCCATACCAATAACGCCTCGCCGGGCGACTGCCGGGCGACTATCGGCTATGTTCCTCTAACGGCTACTCGGAATAACAACGACGGTCCACGGTGGAGCCGTGGAAACGCGAGTCTAGGAACCGCATGTTTCTGCATCCCAGCTTAAATCAGTAACGCGAAGCAGCAGCCTTAATTCGAGCTACTGCTAGCATACACGCGGCCATGCTAACTCACGTAGGAGCAGCTGGACGGCTGTTGTTAGCCGAAGAGAAGCCATGGATTCCTGGACGGATACGACGACGGGCGCAGCGGCTAGCCTGGGTTCAATCCGGTGGAGAAAGATTAAGAGTCTGAACGGAGATTGGAAACGCCTGCTGTTGGACGGGTACGTAATGGTGGCCAATATGGTAGGTAGGTTCTAGAAAGCTGTGAAGTCTAAACCTATTGAATGTCTGGAAGGACACTGGGGTCTTGGTTGTGGTGCTCGGAGAGTGGGAGAGTGTCTCCACACAACATGTTGTGGCTTCTGATCTGTCTGGTCTGGGATGTTTTTGTTGAAGCCATGTCCTGAACACATCTCAACCTAAACTGTACTAAACCGTTCTATCTGTTTATCAAATAGCTACAAAACGTACTCAACCAAAATCAAACGTTAACACTTCATGGGTCCAGTTCCTTGCTCCTCCCATAGGAGCGGAGGTGGGAGGGAAGGGAGGGTGGGAGAGGACGACAACGAAAGCTGGTTCTCAGTGGTCAGTTGCGACACCAACAACTGTAATTCACGTTTTCATTTCGTGTGGACGTCTAGATAATGGGTGTGCTCCAAAACTGAGGTCAATAGGTTTCAAAGCCCTTTCGTCATAAACCGGGATCTCTATGTTTAATATGTAAACGAGGAAGTAGACACGGCTAGATCCTGCTAAAGCCTCCCGTGGGGAAGCGCATCCAACAACGACCGACTACGCATTCTTTCGAAAGAGTTGGTTGGGCGGTTTTGAAAGGAAATTGGCTTTCACCCTGAGAGAACCCCGTCTGGTGTACGTAGTCCAGAACTTCGAAACGCGTGAATGGTGTTCCATAATACTGTAGCATATTCGACGAAGCGCTGATGCAGCTGGTCACTTGCAGATTCCTCTGGTCCATACACCAGGTGTGTTTTCAGGTGATCAGCGCTCACAGAACTGGAGGACGTTAGACACTGTACAGTACCGCGAAGGAACATCAACAAATGGCGAAAGAACATGCGAGCTCGACGCATTCCTGGATGTGATTCCCGACACCCTCAGACGGAGAGGTTCCCCAGGAAAGAAGTTGAACCACGAAGCTTTAGGCGAGGAATTAGGGTAATCACGTCTCGCCAGTGTTGCAGGCTACTCGCGCTTGTAACAAGAAGTGAAATGTGCACATCCTGGTAATGAATTGCTATAAACCTATAGCACAACCTTTAGCCAAGGCAATGTAAATTCAGTAAAAGTGCATTTTCACCTAATCTGCAGGTGACTGGGCTTGCCCTGAAGTTTCCATACATAAGTAGGTGGCTTGTTAAGAAAAATGCCAAAATCCCATGCTGCTCATTCCCTCCCTCTATGCTCCCTCACTTGCTTGGTAGAGTGGGGCAGTCAATGCTGCCTATGTACTCTAGTCTGCCTTCTTCTCACCTGCTTCGCCACCCTCCTCCCTGGGTGCTTCCCAGCCCTTCCAAAACGCATCCAACACACTCTCCTTCCTCCCATACAAAACTTCGGAACCACAACGTTCCCCTCCTGCCTACTCTGCTTTCTTCTGCGCTGCAATGCTCCCCCCTCCTCCCTACTCCGCCTTCTTTTCACCTGCAACGCTCCCATCCTCCCCGGGTGCTTCCCAGCCCTTCCCAGCCACCAGATCCCGCCTCTGCCAGTGCTCAGCCACCTTATAATCCACCACTTCTAGAAACAACTGCGCATCCAACACACTCTCCTTGCTCCCGTACACAGCCCCCCGCACACTCGCCATAAACTTCGCAATCTCACGGCCCGAAAACCCCTCCATCTTCCTCGCAGCATCCCTCAAAACATCCTCCGAAATCCCTTTCACCTCAATCTTCTCCTGTTTCCGGAACGCTGCGGCGATCCCGCCGCCGCCCCGCTTCCACCACTTCCTGCCGTCCTGCGAGTTTGTCACGTAGCGGTGGAGGTACAGCTGGAGAAGGCGGAACCGCTCCTCCTCCCTCGGCAGCGGAAACTCCATCATTTCGTCGATTCGGTCCGTGACTGCGCTATCCAGATCCTCGGGTCTGTTTGTAGCGAGTACAAGCACGATGTCGCGCGATTGGTCGCCCGTTCGGAAGAGCATGGCGTTCAGGGCGGAGCGTTGGGCCTCACTCATGGTGATCTTGTTGCGCCTGGTGGGCGAGGCATGCACAGAGGGAGGGAGGGAGGGAGTGAGGGAGGGAGGGAGGGAGGGAGGGAGGGAGTGAGGGAGGGAGGGAGGGAGGGAGGGAGTGAGGGAGGGAGGGAGAGAGGGAGGGAGTGAGGGAGGGAGGGAGGGAGGGAGGGAGTGAGGGAGGGAGGGAGGGAGGGAGGGAGTGAGGGAGGGAGGGAGGGAGGGAGGGAGTGAGGGAGGGAGGGAGGGAGGGAGGGAGTGAGGGAGGGAGGGAGGGAGGGAGGGAGGGAGGGAGGGAGGGAGGGAGGAGGGAGGGAGAACACACACTCATATGCAGCAGCAAGTAAAAGGGAAGCAACACCAAATGGGTGTCACAGGATTGGTCGCCCGTGCGGAAGAGCATGGCGTTGAGGGCGGAGCGCTGCGCCTCACTCATGGTGATCTTGTTGCGCCTGGTGGGTGGAAAAGGGATGTATGGTAGGAATTGAGATATGGAAGTTGGATGATGTCGGATGGGTGGTGAGAGCTCTCCAGCCCCCCACGAAGCCAAGGTGTCCAAATGCAATTCCATCTCATGCCATCCATGCCATCACATGCAATTCTATCCCATGCCATAGCATGCCATGCCGTGTCATGTCATGTCATGTCATGCCAACTCATGCCATGGCGTATAACATCATGCGAAATCATGCTGTGCCTTGCCATGCCATACCATGGCATGTCAAGCCAAGGAATGCCGCCCGCCCCTCACTCGCACAGAAAGGCGTCCGCCTCGTCAATAATGAACAGTAGCAGCCCACGCTTGGTGTGCGCCGCCCAGTCAGATATGCAATGACATGTCAAGACAGAAATTGCCGCCCACTACTCACTTGCACAAGAGAGCGTCCGCCTCATCGATGAACAGTAGCAGCCCGCACTTTGTGTGTGCCGCCAGTCAAACAAGCCATTCCATGTCAAGCCAAAAGATGCCGCCCAGTACTTACTCGCACAAGAAGGCGTCCGCCTCGTCGATGAACAGTAGCAGCCCGCGCTTGGTGTGCGCCGCCCAGTCAAACATCTGATGAATCTTGGTCACAGCCTGCGGCCCTAGAGGCGCCACGTCTCCTCCTGTCATCAACGCATAATCCAGCCCCTGAGAGGGAAGTGTGAGGAAAGGAAAAGGCAGAGAGAGGAGCAGTGGGTAACAAGAATAATACATATAGGAAAAGAGCATGTTTCTGACCGAGCATGTTTCTGACCGAGCATGTTTGTGACCAAGCATGTTTTTGGCGACTTTTGAGGCTCCTTTTTGGCGACTTTTGAGGCTCCTATTTGGAGACTTTTGAGGTGGCTTTTGAAAGTAGAGCATGTTTTTGGCGACTTTTGAGGCGCATCAGAAAGTAGAGCATGTTTTTGAACGTGTGTGCCATGGCGCCTAATGTTGGTGGAGGCAGCAACATAATTTCCAAACCTCAAACCCTACGTGAACCCCATACTTTTGAACGTGGCGCCATGGCTCTTAATGTTGGTGGAGGCGGCAGCATAATTTCCAATCCCTAGGCCTTATCCCTGACTCCTACCACAACGCACCGATTGCCTTGCGAGCTCTTTAGCCGCCATGGTTTTGCCAGTCCCTGGCGGCCCAAAGAAGAGCATGTTCCGAAACGGTGCGCCGTGGCGCTTGGTGTTGGCCGTGGCAGCAGCGAGCTGTCGAGCCCCAAACCTTAAACCCTTGAAACCCTACCCCTAACCCAAACCATAAAACACGCCCACCGATTGCCGGGCGAGCCCTTTAGCAGCCATGGTCTTGCCAGTGCCAGGGGGCCCGGGGGCCATGGCGCTTGGTGTTGGCCGTGGCAGCAGTGAGCTGTCTAGAACCAGCCTTTAACCCCGTAACCCCAACCCAAACCTCGAAACACTAACCTTTACCCTGCGCCCTGCACCCTAACCCCAACCGCCCTTCCAACAACTCACCTATTGCCTTGCGAGCTCTTTAGCAGCCATGGTCTTGCCAGGGCCAGGCGGACCGAAAAAGAGCATATTTCGGAATGACGCGCCATGGCGCTTGGTGTTGGCCGTGGTGGCAGCGAGCTGTCTCAACCCCAGATACTGAACTCTAAACCCAAACCCTCTCCACCACCCACCGATTGCCTTGCGAGCTCTTTAGCAGCCATGGTCTTGCCAGTGCCAGGGGGACCAAAAAAGAGCATGTTTCTGAACGGCGCGCCGTGGCGCTTGGTGTTGGCCGTGGCAGCAGCGAGCTGGCGAATGCGGTGGTGCAGCGATGGGTGCAGAATCACATCGCCAAACCCTCGACCTGATTTCATCAGAGCTGAGGCCGCTGCTCCTCCTGCTCCTGCTGCTGCTGCCTCTGCTGTTACTGCTCCTGTGGTGGGGATGGGCAGGGAAGAAAGAGAAGGGTGTCGGGTGGTGCAGCAACGGGTGCAGAATCACATCACCAAAGCCTCGACCCGACGGGTGCAGAGCCGGCGCTGCTGCTCCGCCCGCTCCTGCTGCTGCAGCTTCAGCTGTTACTGCCCCTGGAAAAGAGGGAGGGGGGAGAGCAGACGAAGGTGGGGAAGGGGAGGGGAGAGAGGAGGGGTAGAGGAGGTGAGAGCAGTGGGCAGGAGGAGGGAGAACGAGGCGCTCCGTGGCGATTGGTGTTGGCCGTGGCGGCAGCGAGCTGGCGAATGCGGTGGTGCAGTGCAGCAACGGGTGCAGAATCACATCGCCAAACCCGCGGCCCATGTCCATCAGGGCTGAGGCTGCTGCTCCCCCAGCCCCTGCCGCTGCTGCTTCAGCCGTTACTGCTCCTGTGGTAGGAGAAGAAAAGCAGAGGAGGGCAGGCCAGAAGAGAGGAGGAGTGTTTGAGACGTCGAAAAAGAACGTGTTTTGAGACGTCTCAAAACCTGAAGCTTCAGCCGTTACTGCTCCTGTGGTAGGAGAAGAAAAGCAGAGGAGGACAGGCGAGAAGAGAGGAGGAGCAGAGGAGGTGAGAGCAGTGAGCAGCAGGAGAGAAAACGAGGCACACGGTGGCGCTTGGTGTTAGAGAGAGTAGTGAACAGTGAGCAGGAGGAGGGAGGGCGAAGTACGCCGTAGTGCCTTTAGATTCCACTCAGAAGTCACTCTGTGTTGGCGGTGAGAGCAGTGGACAGTGAGCAGGAGGAGGGAGGGGGAAGCATGCCACCAGCCCCCCGCCTGCGATCAGGAGTAGGAGACTGTGGTCTGGACAATTGTTGGAAATAAAACCCTCCTTTTGAGGCGCCTCAAAAGTAGCCCCCGCGATTAGGAGTAGGGGACTGTGGTCTGGACAATTGTTGGCAAGACCCCTCCTTCTCTCTACGTTCTACCAACTCACCGGCAGCAGCTGTTCCAGGAGTGGCAGCAGGAACGCGAGAGAAAGGAGCAGCTCGAGCAGAGGAGAGGCGCCTGAGGCTTCGCGACCAGGGGTAGGGGCCTCTTGACAGGGGGTGAACCCAACTCTCCCTCTCCCTCTAGGTGTTGACTCACCGGCAGCAGCAGTTCCAGTAGTGGCAGCAGGGACGCGTGAGAAGGGAGCAGCCAGAGCAGAGGAGAGGCGCCTGAGGCTCCTCAACGAGGGGTAGGGGGGCTCTGGAGAACTGCTGAGATCCTCCCTCCGTTTCCTCCACTAACCAGCAGCAGCACAACTCACCTGCAGCAGCACAACTCACCCGCAGCAGCACAGCTTACCAGCAGCAGCACAGCTTACCAGCAGCAGCACAGCTTACCAGCAGCAGCACAGCTTACCAGCAGCAGCACAGCTTACCAGCAGCAGCACAGCTTACCAGCAGCAGCACAGCTTACCAGCAGCAAGCTACCAGCAGCAGCACAACTAACCAGCAGCAGCACAGCTTACCAGCAGCAGCACAGCTTACCAGCAGCAGCACAGCTTACCAGCAGCAGCACAGCTTACCAGCAGCAGCACAACTAACCAGCAGCAGCACAGCTTACCAGCAGCAGCACAACTAATCAGCAGCAGCACAGCTTACCAGCAGCAGCACAACTCACCGGCAGCAGCAGTTCCGGGAGTGGCAGCAGGGACGCGGGAGAAGGGAGCAGCCAAAGCAGAGGAGAGGCGCCTGAGGCTGCGCGACCAGGGGTAGGGCCCCCTTGAGGACTCCCGCACGAGTGAAGGCTGTCCCAAGAGGCGATCAATGTAATGCCACACCACCCTCGCACCCTCCCTGTGATGGGATAGGTAGAAAGAGAAAAAAGGGACAGAGATGGCAGGAGTGGAGAAAAAGGGAGAGAGAGGCGCCTGAGGCTGTGCGACCAGGGGTAGGGTCCTCGTGATGCCTCCCTCACAAGAGATGTGACTTTTGAGTCGACTCAAAAGTCACCTCGCCTGAGGCTGCGCGACCAGGGGTAGGGTCCCCGTGATGCCTCCCTCACAAGAGATGGCTGCCCCAAGAGGCGGTCCATGTGATGCCACACCACCCTCGCACCCTCCCTGTTGTGGATAGGATAGGTAGGGAGGGAGGGGGATGGAGAGGCAGGAGGGGAGAGGGAAGTGGGGTGGGGCGGCTTAAGAGGGCCGAGGGATGGTTGCCCCAAGAGGCGGACCATGTGATGCCACACCACCCTCGCACCCTCCCTGTTGTATAGTAGGGGAGTGAGGCAAGAGCGGCGAGAACGGGACATTGAGACGCCTGGGTCCCTGCGACTAGGGATGGGGACCCCTTGATGCCTCCCGCACAAGCGACGGCTGCCCCAAGAGACGATCGATGTAATGCCACACCACCCTCGCACCCTCCCTGTGTGATAGATAGTAGGGGAGGGAGAGGAGCAGGCAAGAGCAGGGAGAAGAAAGCAAGGAGCGAGGGCACAAGGGATTTTTGCCCCAAGAGGCGATCATTGTAACGCCACACCACCCTTGCACCCTCCCTGTGTGATAGATAGTAGGGGAGGGAGAGGAGCAGGCAATAGCAGGGAGAAGAAAGCAAGGAGCGAGGGCACAAGGGATGTTTGCCCCAAGAGGCGATCAATGTAACGCCACACCACCCTCGCACCCTCCCTGTGTGATAGATAGTAGGGGAGGGAGAGGAGCAGGCAAGAGCAGGGAGAAGAAAGCAAGGAGCGAGGGCACAAGGGATGTTTGCCCCAAGAGGCGATCAATGTAACGCCACACCACCCTCGCACCCTCCCTGTGTGATAGATAGTAGGGGAGGGAGAGGAGCAGGCAAGAGCAGGGAGAAGAAAGCAAGGAGCGAGGGCACAAGGGATGTTTGCCCCAAGAGGCGACCAATGTAATGCCCCACCACCCTCGCACCCTCCCTGCTGTGCAAATAAGACAGGGGGACAGGAGCAGGCAAGAGGGGAGGAACGAGGAAGCAAAGCAGGGTGGCGACAACAGCTGACCACCACCTGGTGGCGACAACAGCTGACCACCACCTGGTGGCGACAACAGCTGACCACCACCTGGTGGCGACAACAGCTGACCACCACCTGGTGGTCGCCAGCACCAGGTGAGCTGCTGGCATCTACACCACCATAACATGGTTGACTTTTAACACTCAATTGAGTAATTGGAATGCAGTGCAGCTCACCTGGTGGTATGAATGCCAGCAGCCAGTGCAGTGACTCCCGTCCCGCCACTGTCTGTCACCACCATCTTGCCTCACAATCATGGCACCTGGTTACCCTATGGTAACATTACTACCAACACCTTCGGCATGACAGCTCACCTGGTGGTGTAGATGCCAGCAGCCGGTGCAGTGACCCCAGCCACCGTCACCACCATCTTATCTTGTAATGGCAATGCCGCTTGTATGGACTGCTCGTCGTAACACCAGCACAACAGCACTTACAGGACGGTAGCTCACTTGGTGATGCCAGCAGCTCACCTGGTGGTGTAGATGCCAGCAGCCAGTGCAGTGACCCCTGCCACCAACACCACTATCTTATCAGGATAGTAGCTCACTTGGTGGCAGCAGCTCACCTGGTGGTGTAGATGCCAGCAGCCAGTGCAGTGACCCCAGTCACCAACACCACTATCTTATCAGGATAGTAGCTCACTTGGTGGCAGCAGCTCACCTGGTGGTGTAGATGCCAGCAGCCAGCGCAGTCACTCCAGCCACCGTCACCACCATTTTGTTCTGATCCGTCAGCAACGCTCTGATACCACCTGGGGTGTATGGAAAGAGAAACGGGGGATGCGAGACATAGGAGATGAGGAACAAGTGAGGTGGGGCGGAGTAGCAGCAACCACCGTCACCACCATCTTGTTCTGATCTGTCAGCAGCGCTCTGATACTACCTGGGGTATGGTGATGAGAGAAAGGAGAAACGGGGGGTGGGAGGAGAGAAGAGGTGCACGCGAGGGTTAGCACCAGCCAGGCACCGTCACCACCATCTTGTTCTGATCCGTGAACAGCGCTCTGATACCACCTGGGGCGTTGAGAGGAACGCTGGATGGGAGGTTGGGCGAGACCTGCAAGGTGGGTTAGGAAAAGGCTGAAGAATCACTTATGAGGATTCTCAAAAGTTTTGAGAATTCTCAAAAGTGATACCACCTGGGGTGTTGAGAGGAACGCTGGATGGGAGGTTGGGCGAGACTAGCAAGGTGGGTCTAGCACAACCTCCCATCCTCCCGAGTGGGTCTATGACTCCTATGTATGGAAAAGGCTGAAGAACAACCGCACAGCAACCGCACGCGAGTTTTGAGTCGACTCAAAACTCACCCAAAAGGCTGAAGAACAACCGCACAGCAACTGCACAGCAAGGTGGGTTAGGAAAAGGCTGAAGAACAACCACACAGCAACCACACGCGAGACATAGGAGAAGAGGAACAAGTGAGGTGGGGCGGAGTAGCAGCAACCAGCACCACCATCTTGTTCTGATCCGTCAACAGCGCTCTGATACCACCTGGGGTATGGGGCATGGCATGGCATGGGACAGCACGGCATGAAATAAAATGGTATGCACATGAAGGAATAAATGTTAAGCTCCCTTGCAACCCACCTGGATACATTCACGCTTAGTGTAACCACCCTCACTACCTTCACTCTCCATACACTCTACCCCCAATGTGCCCAAACGTTGTGCTAATCGCGCTGATCCATTTCTCTGTCTCTGCTTTGCTCTTCTCCAGTACCAGCCGCCTGTTCACGTCCTCACCGAGCCGCGCCTCGTGCGCCCGTGCCTCTACCTTCCACGCACTGACCGTCAACACACCATTCCCCTCTCCACTCACCCCCAATATAAGGAGACTCACCTCCAACGTGCCCGAACGTGGTGTTGATGGCGCTGACCCACTTCTCAGTCTCCGCTTTGCTCTTCTCCAGCAGCAATCGTCTGTTCACGTCCTCACTTAGCCGCGCCTCTGCCTCCGCCAGGGCCTTCTGCTCTGCCTACCACGCACTGACCTTCAACACACCCACCATCCCCCTCTGCACTCACTTCCATCCAGTATAACAGGATTCACCCCCAACACAACAAGACTCACCTCCAATATGCCCAAACGTGGTGTTAATAGCGCTGACCCACTTCTCAGTCTCCGCTTTGCTCTTCTCCAGCAGCAGCCGTCTGTTCACGTCCTCACTCAGCCGCGCCTCGTGCGCCCGTGCCTCTGCCTCCGCCAGGGCCTTCTGCTTCAGCGTCTCCCTCTCGATTGCCGCCATTTCTAGCTCGGTTTGTCGCTTCTGCTGCTGAATCTGCGTGTTCAGAAGGGGAGAGGGGGGTGGGGGCAGTGGGAGGGGGTCCACGAGAGCAATGGGCAGCAGCAGGGTAGGGCAGGGAGTAAGAGAATTAGCAGAAACAGCAGTTTCAGCAGCACTCAGTCTTGCCGCGTGCGCCCGCGCCTCTGCCTCCGCCAGAGCCTTCTGCTTCAGCGTCTCCCTCTCGATTGCTGCCATCTCCAACTCCGTTTGTCGCTTCTGCTGCTGAATCTGCATGATTTGAGAAAGGAAGAGGGGGGTTGGGTTGGGGGCGGTTGGGGGAGGGGGGGGAAGGGAGAACCTAATGCTTCAGCGTCTCCCTCTCCATCGCTCCCATCTCTAACTCCGTTTGTCACTTCTGCTGCCGAATCTGTACCGTTTGAGTGAGAACAAGGGGGGGGAGGGGGTCAAAATACGTTCCCCAGGGTCAAACCTTCTCAGCCCTTCTGAGCCCTCTAGGCCCTCCTCCCTCTTCACCCACCTCGTTTGTCACAGGTCTCATATACCCCAGCCTCACCTCTTCCCTTACAGCCCTTACGATCTGCGCTCGAGAATCGAACCCGTTGTTGCTCATCTCAGCCGTTCATTCATCTTACCTCTTCCTCTGTGGCCCGTCGGATCTGCTCCTGCCTCACGCTCGACTCCTCCTGCATTTTCACCAGCTCTGCGTTCCTCGCCCTCTGCGCCTCGTGCTCCGCCTGCCAGGGGGAAACGCAGTGATCAAAACAACACACTGTACCGAACTGCACTGCACTGCACCGCACTCCATCGTGCACAATCAAGGTAACAATGGGGCTCCTCCTGCCTCACGCGCTCTCGACCAGCTCTGCATTCCTCGCCCTCTGTGCCTCGTGCTCCGCCTGTCAAGGGTTTATCAGCAACGAGGAACGGAAAACAGGGACGAGTATATGGGAGAATTTTGAGCGCCCCAAAAATCGAATATGGGAATAGGGAGAAACAAAGCTCTCCTGCTTCTCCACCCACTCCACCCCACTCCACCCCACTCCACTCCATTCCCCCCCTTCTTTCCCTGCACAAATGTGCCCATACGCCCATTCTTTACCATTCCGCTACGCCTTAATCCGCAACCCCTACTCCCCCCCACCCCCCAGCTTGTTCCTGACACCCCGGATTTCGAAAACCCCAAACCCAGAACCCTGGCAGTCCCCGCCCCTCAGCTGCATGCGCTTGCGCGCGAGTTCGTCCTCGTACCGCCCCAGCTGCGCGTTGGTCTGCGCCTGCTGCTGTCCTTGTGTCACCCACCCCCTTGCCTTCCCAGAATCCTTCCCCAGCCCTCCCTCCCCACCTTCCCCTTACCCCCGGTCTCCCCCTCACCTGCATGCGCTTGTGCGCGAGCTCGTCTTCGTACCGCGCGAGCTGCGCCTTGGTCTGCGCCTGCTGCGCCACCAGCTTCTGCTGCTCCTCATACATCAGCTTCTGCCGCCCCGCCTCCTGCTGCCCTTCCCATACCACCCTGCCACCCCTTCACCCCATTCCATCCCTTCCCTCCCCCTCTCTCTACGGCCAACCCCTCAGACATCCCTGCCCACCTAAAACCCGAAACCCCTGAACCCCCTCACCTGCATCCTCTTCCGCGCGAGCTCGTCTTCGTACCGCGCGAGCTGCGCCTTGGTCTGCGCCTGCTGCGCCACCAGCTTCTGCTGCTCCTCGTACATTAGCTTCTGCCGCGCCGTCTCCTGCTGCTGCCGGTGCACCTCCAGCTCCGCGATCCGCGCCTTCTCCTCCGCTAGGCGCACATCCTCCTGCTTGCGCATGATCTCAAACACCTGGGGGGGGAAGTTAAGCGGGGAAGAGGGGGGTTGGGGGGGGGAGGGGAGGGGGGGGGGCAGGTGGGCTTAGGAGACGGACGAAGCTGCTGCCGGTGCATCTCCAGCTCCGCGATCCGCGCCTTCTCCTCCGCCAATCGCAATGATCTCAAACACCTGGTGTGAGGGGGGCGGGGGGGGACGGAGGAGACGGACGGAGCTGCTGCAGGTGGACCTCCCGCTCCGCGATCCGCGCATTCTCCTCCGCAAATCGCACTTCCTCCTATTTGCGCATGATCTCAAGCACCTGGTGTGAGGGGGGCGGGGGAAGGAGATGGGAAGAGACGGGGAGGGGGGGGGGCAGGTAATGGGAGGGAGAGAGAGGGAAAGCAGGGGCGAAATGGGAGAAGAGGCGGTGTCCTTAATACCCCTGAATGCTGGTTGCACTAGGTGACTCGTTAATTTGATCACCCGTTCGTCAACATACCTGCTTCGCACTAGCTGACTTGTTGATCTCCCTCAGAGCCTTCGCCCCGCGTTCCAAAGCCTCGGGATCGAATCCCGCCGCCGTCGTGCGCGGGTTGGGATTGTCATTCCGCTGCCGCTGCGATCCCTCCCCCGCGGCCGCGCTTCCGGCCCCAACGCTTGCGCCAGATCCTCCCGGCGGAAGGCCCCCGGGCGCAGGTCCCGGCGCGGGGGGGTGATCTGCGGAAGGCTCTCCGCCAGCTCCGCCTGCGCCTCCGCGAATGCCCAGCATGTTCCCCCAGAACGATCCCGCGGAAGCCACTGAGGCCAAGTTCTGCCGATCCGCCGGATCCGCGGAGTCGTCAGATCTTGCGATGCGTGAATCTACGGCTGCGATCGCGGCAACGGATACGGCGGATGCGGCGAGCACGGTCGCTGCTCCAGATCGACCGGAGTTCGCGGCTGACGCGGCAGCCGCTGATTGGGCTAGCCGACGAATCGAACTTCTGATCGCCATGGCTGGCAGATCAGATCCGATTGGATTCGATCGGATTCAATCAGGTCGGATCGGATCGGATGTACAGGAACTTGCTGAATGTCTAGTGGAAGCATGCAATGAGTGTGCTCCCCAGTTACGCTCTCGCTGTGGTCGCACGCGCGTATGAAGGCGCGACTGACTCGCAAATCGCAACTTCCGCGATCCGGCAGCAGAGAACCCGAGATCTGGTATGCAGAACGGTTGCCAGATTCTGATTCCGTGCGATCCAAATGAAGGAAGGAAGCCAAGACAACCGTACTGCTGACCAGATAGGCGAACTGGCTCGCTAACCTAGACCATGAGGGTAAGGAAGCTCTTGGAAATGGGCGAAAGCAGATGAGCAGGCTGGAGTGGGCCCAGGCTAGAACTGAATGGGCCCAGCCCAAGAGCAAGCTCCTCGGGATTTGCTACTGGAAGCACGGCTTTGCTCCTCCAGATTTGCTACCACAGAAGGCGCAGAAAATAACAATCGGACGGTTAGGAACGGACGGCGAGTGAACACCGGGGAGGAGAGTATGTACGCAAAACACATTGGTCAATTACGGTACCGGATCATTCATCAACGAGAACGAGAGATTGCTGGTTGTTTGGGGCAAGGCCACAGGTTACCAAGTGGAAAATCGATCGCAGCCAGTCAGACACGACTAGACCTCGCACAGTTCACGAATGCGTGTTTGCGAAAGTCTTTGACAGCCTTCGGTTAGGAAAGCTAGGTGTGGTGATTGTCGTCGTTAATGTTCGGCACAGTGACGTAGGGTTTCCACAAACGCATTTACCTGTCTCTGTCTCATCAGCGAAGCTGTGGGCGAAAATGTGGGCCCCTCGTGTTTTTCCACAACTGCGTCTACACTGGAATACGGGTGTAACCCTCGGGTCACTACTGACGAATACGGCCGAAGCCTTCTTCCGTGTGTCACAAGCAAGATGTTTGGAGTTGAGAGACGCCACGCGTTTGGAGTGATTCCAGCAGGGTTGGAAATGGAAGATATCGGCGCAACAACTGATGAAAGCCCACCAATAGCAACGTCGATATCCGATTCAAGCTCATCATCTACACTGGAGCTACCTGTATAGCCTGGAACCGACTACCAAGTCTGCTCGTTGTTCCCACCACTCTCATCGTCCTAGGAAACAACTGATTACAAGTGTATCAATGGATGTCATCATCGTATACAACTGCAGCAAGGATGTAATTATTTACTGTCAACATTATTTACATTATTTACCATTATTTATATAGGTTAGTCATGGTAGCCGAGCTAGGCTTTCAACTAGTTATTGCCAGCAGGGTTTATGATGCTGTAGGGGTGCAATAACGGGTATAAATAGTGGTGGGACGTGTTTTCGTTCAAAATGAAAGTATGCCTGGTCTGAGTACACAATATGATAAGAACCATGCCCTGTTATGAAGGAATACACTCACAACAATGCATCAAGCACCATTAGAACAAAACCTGAAACGGAATGGAGCCTCGTGCGAATACCTTCCTTTCCACATCCTCGGCCTTTTCACTTCTGGGTCGGATCGACTGGTACTAGGTCGTTTCCCTCCACGCACTCATGCTTGCTTCCCTCCTTCAGCTTGCTTTCCTACTTCAACTCGTAGGTGACTCTTGGGCTGACTAGAAAGCCATCTCCTTACAGCAGGGTCGGATCGACTGGTACTAGGTCGTTTCCCTCCACACACACACACTCATGCTTGCTTCCCTCCAGCTTGCTTTCCTACTTCAACTCGTAGGTGACTCTTGGGCTGACTAGAAAGCCATCTCCTTACAGCAGGGTCTGATCGACTGGTACTAGGTCATTTCCCTCCACACACACACACTCATGCTTGCTTCCCTCCTTCGGCTTGCTTTCCTAGTTCAACTCGTAGGTGACTCTTGGGCTGACTAGAAAGCCATCTCCTTACAGCAGGGTCAGATCTACTGGTACTAGGTCATTTCCCTCCACACGCACACACACTCATGCTTGTTTCCCTCCTTCGGCTTGCTTCCCTACTTCCACTCTTAGGTGACTCTTGGGCTGACTAGAAAGTCATCTCCCTACAGCAGGGTTGGATCGACTGGTACTAGATCGTTTCCCTCCACACACTCATGCTTGCTCCCCTCCTTTAGCTCATACCCGATATAGCAGCGGCACTCAAACTGTATAGTGCTGCTGCCACTGTTCGCTGGCACGCAAGTTCCGTGACCTGAGCAGGGTGGGCTGCTGCTGCTTGCTCCACAAAAGTTTTTACAAGCTGCCCAGCTCCGCTGTTGCTTTTCCGGGCAGCTACCTGTTTTAGACAGGCAGTTCTGTACAGCTCTGAGAGTTTCGTCGTCCCCAAGCCCCTGACTCAGGCCAGACTCCTCCGGGCAGAGTTTCTGCCCGGAAATAGTGAGCATGGGGTTACCCCAGAAATAGTTATACTGGAAATCAAACACCATGTCCCCATCACCCCTCCCCAGCTGAGGCAGCTTCCCAGAAAAGAAATTATAGGAGACGTTGAAATCAGTCAGGCGGAAGTTGCGTAGCGCAGCAGCAGGGATTGAACCCACGAGCTTGTTGCTGCTAATATCCAATTGCTTTAGTGCCCCCCCAACTCCCGCTTTCAATGCTCTCCAGGGAAATTCTCCGGTCAGCTGGTTGTTCTCGAGAGAAAGAACGGTCAGGGGTGGCTTGTACACGAAAAACTTCCATGAAACGGAGCCGTTGAGCCTATTTCCTCCGAGAGAAAGCCAGTAGAGGTTTGGAATCCTGCCCAGGACGTGTGGCAGATTGCCCGAAATCTTGTTCGAGCTCAGATTGATTAGATAAAGGTTTTGATGACGCCATAGCTGAGCGAGCGACTTAGTCGTGTCTGTGATTCCCGTTTGCTGCATACTCAGCCATTCAAGCCGCGACAACCTGTTGATTAGCTTGTAAGGGAAGGCCCCACCGATGGGATTATATGAAAGGTCGAGGTTCTTGAGAGATGGGGCGAGAGCGGCTAGGGCTCCTGGTAGCGGGCCTACCAGTCGATTTTCCTGCAGACTTAACTCCTTTAGGCGACTCAATCCCGACAGCTGGCGCGGCACGGCTCCGGTTAAGCGGTTATGCGCGAGGTGGAGCGTTTTTAAGTTCCAGAGGGTGCCCAACGTGGGGGGAATCGGACCGGAGAGCTGGTTTACGTTGAGTGAGAGGTAAGTAAGACGCTTAAGCCTGCTAAGCGTCGGTGGGATGCCTTGGGAGAATCTATGGCCGAGAAGGTCGAGCGACACTAGGTTCGTGAGGGAAGCGAGGGAGCGTGGGATGCGGCCGCTGCAGCCGCCCGTGCTGCTTCTGATGCTGACGGTGGTGAGGGTCAGAAGCGCGCCGAGCGATACTGGCAGTGAGCCTGTGATATTCATCCCGGAGATTTCTAGGTGTTGGAGGGAGTTGAGAGCGGTGATGGTCGGCGGAATCGGCCCCGTTTCCCAGAAGTTCAGCTCGATTTTTACGACCGCGCCTTGGGGCGTACATGTGACGCCTTCCCATTGGCTGCAGTCTTTTTCCGTGCGCCACGTGTCCTTGTAATAGTAGACGTCAAGATACGGCACCAAAGAGAGGAGGAACTTCGCCTGGGCGGAGTTGATTTTTGCAGCGCGGCTCGGGATGCACAGAAGGCTTATAGCGAGAAGAATCAGAGATAATATCGGGAATGTGAGCGGGGTTGATCTCCTCGGAGGTTTGTTGGGATGGGACGCCATGGATGCTTCGGGAAATGGAGAATGGCTACTTCTAGCTAACATAGAGCTTAAATTTAGTCCGTCACGAAGCAGGGGTGGAAGTGTCTGTTTGCAGTTTTTCCGTCTCCGCTGTTACGGATGTTTCGGAAGGTAATACATTTTTATAGCAAGCACACGAGGCGGGTGCTAACTGGACAATCGCGATACGGACACAGCAGCGGTTCTTTCCTTGTGAATACCATCGGCTGTCCTTGGCGGATTTTCCCTTTGCCAACAGAACGCGCCTGCTAAGCGGCGGGAGCCGCGCGAGCGAGTCGCGCCAGCAAGCCATGGATGAGGCTTGTTGAGAAATAACATCACAGCAGCAAGGAAGCTCAGCCCAGCAGCATTGCATTTCACAACCAAGAATCTGAGCCTGAGTTATCGATGGCATAAATGGTATGGAAGTGACAAGTGTCAACCAGAAAGCAATTGTTTTCTACGGTCTGTTCGATTTTTTCGATCCCTCGTCCCTCATGACGGGGTTTCAACTATCAAGGTCTGCACAACACATCAATGACAACGCGACAGGCTCCTATTGGCATGTCGGATTGCACAGTATCAAGGCGCAAAGCAGTCCCACGGTTCTATCAGCAACTTATCAACATCTGCAGCATGAGCTATGGCATGACGCTCAAGCAGCAACATTATTTAACAGCGTTATGCTCAATCAACCAGCTCATCAGGCTTTCCGTGACTTATTGTCACTTTCGCTGCCGGTGCTCTGTCATCAGTGCAAAATGCCTCGCGCTCCTGCAAAGGGGAAACAGGTAGCAGAAGAAAACTTGTCTAAGGAGACCCCTGTGGGGCTTCCTACAACGCCAGTGGCTTCGGATAATGGCGTGACTACGACTCCTGATCCTTTACCGGTGGCTGGAAGCTCTGGCCTGGCTCCTGCAGAGAAGGCTACAACGGCGTGTCAGCTCTCTGCGGATGGATTCCTTGAAGACGATTCAGATGAAGAGCTGGACATCGACATCCAGCAAGAGGCTGCTGCTCGCCTCCGCTTCACAGCCATCCTACTGGTACCCTTCATGCTGCAGCAGGAGCTCGGCGCTGTCATTAACATGGTGTGGACACTCCTGCGTAAGGTCTGGATTTCTTCGCTTACGGAGGGTGCTACTGACACGGCTTCGGTTCAGACTCTCCCGGCTACGTATGTCGTGAAGCAGCATTTCTGTCGCCTTCAGCTCTCCTTCCTGCGTGAGGAAGACGCGATAGCAGTCAGGACGAAGACGGTGGAATATCAGCGGC